TGTTGAAATCACCAACAGCTACGGAGAATGGATAAAAGCCAACTGAATAACGTGTTTGATTTGCAAACGAGCCATTCCCATTGCCAAGAAGGATGCTCACATCATTGGTACGCGCGCTGGCGACAACTATGTCTAGTCGAGTGTCGTTATTGAAATCACCAACAGCTACGGAGAATGGATAAAAGCCAACTGAATATCGTGTTTGATCTGCAAACGAGCCATTCCCATTGCCAAGAAGGATGCTCACATCATTACTAGCTTGGTTGGCGACAACTATGTCTGGTCGAGTGTCGTTGTTAAAATCACCAACAGCTACAGAGGATGGACCAGAACCAACTAAATACCTCGTTCGGTTTACAAAAGAACCACGATTGTATGCGGTCAATATATCCACGTTGTCCCTTCTATTATAGACTAGAGCGATAGAAAACATTCGATTATTACCTGTTCGAAAATAGAAAAAGAGATAGTGGTCAGTGGCTAATATAAATCACTTGTAAGTGAAGTGTAAGGAAATAGTTGATAATATATACATGACTTATGTTTGTTCGATAACATTGACACATGCAATCGATGTGTGGAGCTCTGTGTTTCTGTTTTTCGTCTATTACTAATATTAGTGCTTGTAAGAGCACAATTCTTGTTACTCAGTTGAATGATCCTCGACACTTTCGAAGTGGAAAATTCTCCAGTCTCACTGGCGGTTGGTTGCTTTACATGACCAGATGTGCCTGAGTTCGCGATGACTGAACTCAATCTTTAGAATTGGTAAGATTACGTATTTATAGATCTACAATTCGGGTAATAAGAAAAATTGTGAATAGCAGACCCAAAGTGTTCCGCATGACTTGCAATAGTATCGAACAGTTCTTCTGTTAGTGGCTCTGTGGGCAAGTAACGATAACATAAACGGTTCTGTAAAGTGAGAAAAATAATGCAGCCATGGTCGAAGAAACTGAAGTCTGAACAGTACACATTCTACAGTTCGAGCTAGCCTACGTCAATATCTTTGATGGAATAGTATTGGAAACTTTGGCACTGCCTCAGAAGTGAGCAACTTGATATAAAATAAATCTTTTGTGAAATGAAAATTCTCAGAACATGGCACAGTTATTTGGCTTCGTAAATGGTACGTAGCGATAGGTGGATAATTCTGTGTTGTTTTCAAAATGGCATCTTCGATTCGAGAACATGTTTACTCAATAGTAAGTTACTAGCTTTTTCTGATCAATTCTTTGCTGAGACATATCATTGGCTAACATATGGCTGCACAAGTGACCGTCATGTTTGGGGCTTACCTTTGTTGGCTTTAGTGTCTCAATCTTTTGAGGATTTCTTCAGTATCATTCAGATCTATTTATGTCTTGATGATTCACGTACCTAAAATCAGTTGTAGTTTCATTTATGATCCACTCTGTGATTTACATGACTCATACAAGCAGGCTTCGAGCTGTCCAACTAAGCTCATATGTGATCTTAAACGAGTTTCGAGCACTTTATAGGACGCAAAACAGCTTTGAGATTTGCTACGAAATCGAAAGTAGAGATGTAAGATCCAGGATTTTCAACTCACAAAGTCCGCACCACCATGTGATGTTTGGTAGGAAGGAAGAAAGTTTTCAATTACTCAAGATTAATAGAGTACCACTTTTTTACATACCAGTAATTTTCCGTGGGTTCGTGGTATACAATAAGATACTAGATAGATACGGGCAAGCGTTTTCTTCGAGATGCAATGAAACCCTCTCAAAAATGACTGATATATGTTGTTCATCCACATATGTAGTAACGAGTATGTCACCGACTGCTTATTTCATTACTTCTAATTAGCTCAGTACAAGATCACTTGTTCCCTGTTTCTTTCTTCCTTCTCTACTGTTTGATGTTCTGCTTCATAGTCAATGCTTTGAGATCTTTGTACTATATTACGAAGCCAAAAATAGCTTCTTAATCTCACCAAAAAAGCTCGCATTTGTCCATGATTCCATGTCATTCGCTAAGCACTTTTCTGGCTTCGTGTTTCTGGATCTTTTTCCAGCGTGAGATCATAACTAAAGCGATATAAGATTCAAGAACAGGAAACACCTCCAACGTCCTTTAATTAAACAAGGCATTGATATGATCACTCAACAAGCGGCCAACGACCGTGCGGGCAGAGTTGAGAACCATGGCGAATCAATATAAATAGTAGTGTATGAGTGTTGAAATTGGACACAACGATATAATATGTGAATAGTCCGATTTTTGACCGTTTTTCATTGCTAAATTTGCTAGAAATCATAGCCAGCGGATTTGAATCAAAACTAGTTTTTGTACTTGTTAAACTCGCAAATATGCCGTTCTCACATCCAAGCATTAGGCCTATTTCCTTTGTACCATTATTGAAAACAGCGATGTCTACTATACCATCACCATCGAAGTCGTCAATAGCAGTCAAACTCGGATGCGAATTTACGCCTGTGTTAAGTATTGTTTGGTTTTTGAAACTGCCATTTCCATATCCACCAAGAAAGGCGAGATTGTTAGTGCCATAATTGCTCAAGACGATATCCAAGTTGCGGTCATTATTCCAATCAACCACCATAACGTATTGCAGACTAGATCCACCACCGGATGCATAACTTCTTTCATACGCGAGCTTTCCAATACTTTGAAGCAGTACACTCACATCATTGGTACGCGCGTTGGCGACAACTATGTCTAGTCGAGTGTCGTTGTTGAAATCACCAATAGCTACAGAGGATGGACCAGAACCAGCTGAATAACGTGTTTGATTTGCAAACGAGCCATTCCCATTGCCAAGAAGGATGCTCACATCATTGCTAGCCCAGTTGGCGACTAATATGTCCAGTTGAGTGTCGTTGTTCAAATCACCAATAGCTACAGAGGATGGACCAGAACCAGCTGAATACCTTGTTTGATCTGCAAACGAGCCATTCCCGTTGCCAAGAAGGATGCTCACATCATTGCTAAGCCAGTTGGCGACTACTATGTCTAGTCGAGTGTCGTTATTGAAATCACCAATAGCTACAGAGTATGGAACAAAGCCAACTGAATAACGTGTTTGATTTGCAAACGAGCCATTCCCGTTGCCAAGAAGGATGCTCGCATCATCACTACCTTGGT